AACAAACACACAAACAAACAGCAAACAAACATACAAACAAACATACAAACAAACATACAAACATACAAACATACATACAAACAAACAAACAAACAAACAAACAAACAAACAAACAAACAAACAAACAAACAAACAAACAAACAAACAAACAAACAAACAACAAACAAACAACAACAAACAAACAACAACAAACAAACAAACAAACAAACAAACAAACAAACAAACAAACAAACAAACAAACAAACAAACAAACAAACAAACAAACAAACAAACAAACAAACAAACAAACAAACAAACAAACAAACAAACAAACAAACAAACAAACAAACAAACAAACATGAAACAATACATACTCAAAGAGATATAACACCACCAAGCAATCACTTATAAATATTTAATTCAAAAGGTGAAATGTACTATGCTATTTTATAGCTATATTTATAAACTATATTTATATGTACCGTACTACAATATTACATGTGCTAGTTTTAACTTAAGCGTTTGATAACAAATTCAACGATAATGCGATTACATAGTGACAATACAGTTTAAAAATTACTCAAAAAATTAGTCGAAAATTCTTGTCTTGGATCACTTTTGTGTTTTTTTTTTCAGTCAATCTAAATTAATTAAAGGGCATCGTCCGTTAAAGGGGCAGTGTCACCAATTTTGACCAAAAATGTTTTTATTCAAAGGCTGACCCGCTAATTTGACAAATAAACATTATAAATAGGTTCAGTTATGATATACAGGTCATATTAAACAACTTTGAACTTCTACAAAACATCTAAGACGACGTTTTCATACAAATTGATCTAAACTTGAAAAAGTGTGTGCATGCCAACAATGAATCAAGAATCAAGATGTCATTTACAGTCCATCTCAATCCTCAAGACCTCAACCATCCAGACTTCTGTACATGTTACTGTTTTATGTTATTTATATTGTTTTATATATTTGTGATTGTTTTATGTTGTGCTTACAACCATTCTTTTAGGTTTTGTGCAAGATTCCTAAAGATTTGCGAGGGTCAAAATCGGCGACGCTTCCGTGATACTCGGCCCCTTTAAATTTTCCTGGGAGTACCAGTTGCTTGTGAAATGTGCACTGAATGATAAATATTTCATAAAAATAGCCATGATAAGAATACACCCTCTCGATAATTACGTCACAACTACACTGTTTTCAACTTATGACCATCTTAAATGGAAAGGATTTCAAGTTTTTTTCTCATGGGTTATGCACAGAGAAGCAGAACATCCTTCTTCAACACATGCGCGAAAAAAGTTTTGGATTTTGATCAGTAAATATGGAAATAAGCATTCACACGAAAACGAGGCTCCAGGTCATGACCTGCAGCCTCGTTTTCGTGTTAAAGCTTATTGCCCCACATTTATTGGTCAAAATAAATCATTATTTTTCATGCGTGTGTTGAAGAAGGATGTTCTGCTTCTCTGTGCATAGCCCATCAGAAAAAAAACTTGAAATCCTTTGAAAACAGTGTAGTTGTGACGTAATTATCGAAAGGGTGTATTAAGCCTCATACTGTACAGACGGCAATTTTATTTGTTCGTGTGTACGGGAAAAAATGGACAAGTTTCCCTGCCAAAGTTATATATATGCTCACAGCAGGTTTTGGAAAGGAAGATTTGTTCGTCAGGTATACGGCCGGCAGAGGAAAACTTGACAAGTGTACAAGAAATACTACTAAAATAAAAGGCCGCCTTGACGTTGACGTAAGATAAATGTTTACAGTAGCAACAAAACTTGTCAAGGAAAACTTGTTGACTGTGCACACGAGAAAGTAAACTTGTCAAGGGAAACTTGTTGACTGTATACACGAGAAGGTAAACTTGTCGAGGGAAACTTGTTGACTGTACACACGAGAAAGTAAACGTGTCAAGGAAAATTTGTTGACTGTACACACGAGAAGGTAAACTTGTCAAGGGAAACTTATTGACTGTACACGCGAGAAAGCAAACTTGTCAAGGGAAACTTGTCAAGGAAAACTTGTTGACTGTACACACGAGAAAGTAAACTTGTCAAGGAAAATTTGTTGACTGTACACACGAGAAGGTAAACGTGTCAAGGGAAACTTATTGACTGTACACGCGAGAAAGCAAACTTGTCAAGGGAAACTTGTCAAGGAAAACTTGTTGACTGTAGACAAGAGAAAGTAAACTTGTCAAGGAAAACTTGTTGACTGTACACACGAGAAAGTAAACTTGTCAAGGAAAACTTACTCGTCTGTGCGGGGATTTACTCCTTTAGATTTGTAAAGCTCTAAGTGCATGATAAGAAGTGTGATTCTATATTTAATTATATGTAGCAATCCGGAAGGCATTTCTCGGGATTGTCAATACCTCAATAGTGCGAACTAAGCTGTTGTATTATTTACTGTTGAGGGACTTGAAGGGAATGTAGAGTATTGGGGCGGGCCAGGAAGGTGAGCCTGCAATAAGCTACCAAGGTTCGTCGCAATCTGGGTGAATGTTGGTCGCTCATCAGGATCGATTTTCCAACACTCTTGCATTATCTGATAACTGCAAAAAAGAGAAATAAATAATACGAAATCAGATTATTACCAATTACGAGAAAATGAAATTATCAACATGAGTTCGACCCAAAGGTCGAACTCATGTTGATAATTTCATTTTCTCGTAATTGGCAATAATCTGATTTCGTATTATTCATGAGTAAAATGTGTAAAATGTTGAGTAAACATGAGTAAAATGTTGAACACGTCCGAATTTAATAATACAATAAATTCGCAACTCCATATAAAACCACAAGCGTTAGACAAGACTTTTGGGTATACAGTAAATGTAATCGCTCTAAAAGGGTGGTCGTGTCGAGGTGTGCGCATTCCCGAAAACAGAGTCACCAAGCCCTTGCAGACCAACGCCAGATCAGGACCAGGTTAGGGCCGGATTAAGACTACATTAGGGTTAGGGGTTAGAGCCCCTGCACCCACACAGCAAGTCGGAAAATCGAGCTCATGTTGGAAATTATGCAATACGTTTGGTTGCTGGTCTTAGGTTCTGAGGCCTAGCGGTTTACATCACAATTGTGAGATTTAAAGAATAGTGGATCTTCAGACGGAATAGTAAATCTTGAAATCTACCAGTATTCCTGTTGTACAGACTATAGTAGAAGTAATTGTAAATTTCGGGTACTTCCTCGGATAGAAGAATTTGCATCACAGATTACGTCATCAGTTAGTTATAGTGATTAGTCATTAGTGTTGAGGTTAGGGTTAGGGTTAGGTTTAGGGTTAGGGTAACGGTTAGATTAAGGATTAGGCTTAGAGATAGGGACTGGGTTATATCTGACGGCACAAACAACACAACTAGCCGATCACATGATCAGTTCTCCTCTACCCGAGGAACTAGCCTGAAATTCGGCCCTTGTAAGATATATGTATTATAGGCTTCATAGCTTCGCTTACATGACGTCTGGGCAGTTGTAAGGTTGTTGCAATCTGTATCCTTGGTAAACAACTTTATCCACAACTTGTCTGTAAGTCGTGTCATCGTTGTATGGTCGGGTTCCTAAAAAAAATTGAATACAATAATAACAATGCTGTAGCGCATTGTATGTTGGCCAAACACGCCGATACATTCACACACGTATCTCAGAGCATATGGGAGTCTCGCCTTTGACTGGAATAGAACGCTCTATCTCAACCATGTCAAGTATACTCGCTCACAAACACATGCACAAACACCCAGTCTCCGCTTCTGATTTCAAAATTCTATCATCAGGCACTTCTGAGTGGGATCTTCTTATCCGTGAAAGCCTATTAATTTCTCAACTTAACCCTGTCCTTAACCCAATATTAGATCTACCCCTCTTGAGTTATTTTAGTTATGTAATATTAACCTTAACTATACTAACCATGCACTTAAAATTAACCTTTACTTATTAACTAGTTACTGATAAGTTGTTTTCCTTTCTTTCTATTCATTTGTTCTTTCAAACCATGTAACCGTTTTTGTAACATTAAACCATTATTTTGTAAATATATATACCATACCCTGTAAATTCATTTAGATTGCTCTGAAGATGTTGTATTGTAAACAACGAAACGTTGTTAATTAAATTTTTACTTTTATTATGTCTGGTTTTAAAGTTATTTGCTGGGCTCTGCTCTTTATCTTTAAACTTAGAATAATAACAATCAAGCTTGAATGATGTGCTTAGAATTATGAAAAGATTCCAGTGTGGGATGTGTGGGATACACAAATGGTACAGGATTGTACAGGATGGTATATAGTCTATACTTGATACAGGTTGGGCCTTCTATTTTGTAGCTTTGAAGTTTGCCGAGCTTCCAGACCATTATATTATCTTGACAGATCTAGAGTTTGCCATAATGTTGTCCATTGTTTTAGTATTTTTAGTATATATATATATATATATATATATTATATATATATATATATATATATATATATATATATATATATATATATATATATATATATATATATATATATATACTATATATATATATACTATTTTATCTGTTTATACAATAAGCGTAAATATCTGTAGCACAGGCATTTGCAGTCAGAGTAGTGCATCACGAAAACATTTTAACAAAATTAATTGAGACCGGTTTCAGATGCCGCTCCATTCATGCGGCAATCGAATCCGTGTTATATAGGAGCGGCGGAAAAGCGATGTATCGAATAGTTTCCGTATGGTACTAGGGAGGTTACGAATGTAAGACGGCGACGTCAGGACGACGGCAAAACAAACTGTTTGAAATAAATGGTTGTATGGAAATCTTGCTTGTATTTACTTTCTTATGAATTTAAAATAATTTCGAACGAGTAAAACAGAGTTCTAACCTTCCGAGCAATGTTGATCAACTCTGCTAGAATATTATATGCAAGACGTGAAAATATACGTACTATGCAAGGCGTCAAAATATACATTTTGCCGTTGTCAACAGAGCTTCGACGACGTCTAAAACCCCTGTTAGACTTTTAATTATTCATTTCTTTTGTACTTTAGGATTAATGTCATTGTATTGATAGCCGTCGTTCTGACGTCGCCGTCTCACATTCGTAAACTCCCTAGTAACTGTCGCAAACTTGTCTCGAACGTGTCGTGAAGTACGTACGTATTTGTCGTGAATGATTTTTATGCTCCTTTCCATATGGTTGCAACTGTCGTGCACTGTCGCAAGTTGATTTCGTACCCAGGGATCGTACAAGCAGCTGGCGGCAGTTTTAAAAAGACAAACTGTAGCCACGCTGTCGTTTTCGTGTTTCCACTAAAAACTGAATAACCGTCACGACACGTTTCTAGCCTGTCGCAACTGTCGTCGAGATAGAACTCGAGCCTATCTCGACGACACTGTTGGAACTGTCGTGAACCGTGCCAGCGTGTCGCGACAAGACTTTTCTTCATATTTCCATTTGGTCGCGAACACTCTGACAACAGTTAGAACACATTTGTGGCAGTTACCACCATATGAAAATCAGCTAGGTTTCCCCTATTGCTCGCGCGAAGACGGAAGCGAAAACATGAATTTTGCAATGTGAATGAAGTGAAGTTGATCCAAATCTAAATTGTATTTATTTGGGCCTGAATGCATGGTATATCCAGTATGAACAAAACAAATTTAGCTTGTTTTTCTATCGGCTACATTCATACCTCCACTTTCAATTTCCCACAGTAAAACTCCAAATGACCAGCTATACAAGAGAAACAACATTTTTAGCCTTAATTAAAGAGCGTTAAAAATAACGGGCGTTAATTTACAGCATGCCTGTAAAAAAAGAAAACAGTTTCGTTTTGGCAAATATGAATTCCAGTTTGAATCACTCGGAAGAATATTTGGGCAAAAGAATTAAATCTTAGCATTGAAGCATTCATATTTCATAATTGATATTTGATAATTCAATTTCATTATCTCAATCAATTAAGTATAACTGACAACCTTGAACTGTTATACAGTCGGATCTTCAACAGCAATCACTATTGACTATTCAACATGCAGTATGTGTTGTTAGTAATCATTGTAATAATCATTCCTAATTTTTGATAAATTTTTGCTTGCAACTTGAATTCTTATTACCGTTTGACAGAGCCATGCATGAGAGTTGAAAAAACTCTCATGTAAACTCTCGCTTGTCTACTTTCATCAACCCTACTCTGACATGCAGGATTTAGAAGTACCATGTGAACATTCAAGACTTACACGTCGCTCTTCAAGTTAAATATTTGATAACGTAATGTTTCTACAGGCATCCACCTTGTTGGAATTGGTTCGTTCTGCAAAATGCAAAAATGAAAACAGATGAGCACTTATTTCAAATCCCAAATTTAAGTAGCAACATAAATTCATGCTACCGTCGAATATACACATATATGTAAGCAATAGAATGTAAATATAACTGCTATTACTATTAAATTGAAAAAAATGGCGGCCCTTACTTTGCGGACACTCTGAAAGACTTCATACGTGTTGCCGATATCCCGAGTTCGACCAAAATCAGAAACTTTCGCTCTCAGGTCACCTTCAAGGAGCACATTACGGGCAGCAAGATCGCGGTGAATAAACTACATAACAACAACAAAATACGTACAATCGTCTATACCCATATTAAAATAGTTCGTGCTATCTGTATTAACTCATGTAAAAGTGGTATAGATAAACTGTTAGTTTTAGCTTAGTGAAATTAAGTGATTTTATTTAGGAAGTGTGGCCCATTCAGCTATACAAAGACTGGTATCCAGAGTTTTCTATATACCTGTACTAACACAGGGCCAACAAGCCAGGGATGACCCATACCGGAAGAGCTGTTTGAAACTGATGAAGGTTTTCAGTTTTAGGGTTTCCTCCAGTGATATCACTAAACCAACAATCAACAAGAGATTGTTGGCATTGTTATTCAGAACAAAAATTAAGACAAAAAAATTTGGCCTTATCTAAATAACAATTTTTGTTCTAATAAAACAAGTCTTTGACTTCCTGAGGTCGTCTCGCCACTCCCTTTCCTTTCAATTTAACATTCAAAAATATAAATATACCTATATTTTATTACAATAGTCAATGTAAGTTAACTGAATGAAGTGGCAACTGTAAACTGAATATTGAATTGAAAAAATTGAGATCATTCGTTGTCTGGAGCGCGATTCAAACTCACACCTTTGGGATTGAGCTATCGAGACAACGGGGATTGGTAGCGAGTCTTATCCATTTTAAGTGGACAACATATTTCGCTACGCCTTAATGCTTGTCGAAGACATTCACTGCCAATCTTTGTTCGCTCGATGACCGAAGATGAGTTCGAATTCGCGCTCGACAGACAACAAAATTTTTGGTTGTACTTTGTAGTATGAGAATTTTACGAAACTAGTTATCCGGTTTAAAGTTAGTTTACTTTAGATTTCCTCCTGTACTAACACTGGATCAATAAAGGATTATCCTTATTGGACCTCTAGGGAGAGCAGTTTAGAACTGATGAGCTATCTAGTATAAATAAATTTAGTTTAGTTTAGGTTTTCTCCTGTACTAACACTGGATCGATAAGAGATGCTCATTATTAGATTCCAAGGGAGAACACTTTAAAATTGATAGAGCTATCTAGTATTAATAAAATTAGTTTGGTTTAGGTTTCCTCCTGTAATAACACTGAACCAATAAGAGATGATTCCTACTAGACCTCTAAGGGTTTAGAAATATTCAATTGTAGTTTCGTTTAGCGTATAGTTTAAAGTTTTCCTGCCTAACAGCTGGCTAATGGAATACTAATTCAGATATTCAGTTACCCCTTTAGTGGACAGGTAGCTCATGCCATTAGCGACATCGAATGCAATTCTCAATCTTGTGAAGTATTCAATGGAAGTGCCATTCCCTTTCCGTCCCGTACTGGAGAGATCAGTCCTGTACTTTTTCACATAGTTGTACAAGTCACCATTAACACAATATTCAACCACCACATAAAACGCACCTGATGAAAAGAAAACCATATATCTAAGCTGTCTTCAAGTCATTATGCTCATCCTCTGATTCATTGTTGAGCAACAAAAATGTTTCTCAACAAATCCAGAAATCTATTTTGCCTCCCAACTGTGATGGGTTTTCTTGTCAAAAATGTTTCCTGGTTTCTTCACCTTCGGAAAACATGGGTAGAAAACAATGTTACCTGGTTCGCCCACCTTCGGGAAATATGGCCAGGAAACAATGTTTCCTGGTTTGACTATCGTCGGGAAACATGGCTAGGAAACAATTTTTCCTAGCTTACCCAACTTTAGGAAACATGGCTAGGGGACAATTCATATATCCTGGTTTACCCACTTTTGGGAAACATGGCTATTAAAGAAACAATTTGTTTAGTGATATTTTCTGTGTTGGTGTTATGTACTCAGGTGAATATGATGTTTGTGATGTTACTCTGAGTGTATATCCACAAAGGGCATATATCCTCTCCAAAGGTATATCCACTCCAAAGATATTTAAAATACTCATTAAAAATTCATAAACCTTGTGGCAAATCATGTCAGCCATAATATGTCACGTGGAGTGACTTTATATCTGATAAAACTCATCCTAATTAGTATGATTATATAATGGTTCATCCTAATTAGTATTCTTCTGTAGTCGTATTTTAAGCCATATAATATGATAAAACATGTGTGCTTTAAATAGTACATCCACTCCAAAGGCGAGGTCGTAGGTTTTAGCATATTTTTCAAGCTTGCGCGGTGTGGATATACACTCAGAGTAATATCACAAACATCAATTTGTTTAGTATTTTTTTTTACCATTTGGATTTTGTGTTTGAGCTCCGATCAAATTCACGATGTTCGGATGCGGATCCATGGTGGACATGTTTTGCAATTCAATTTTTAAACTTCGTTTTTCCACTTCAGATGCTTCTGCTGTAAAATATCAAAGATAATTACATGTACAGACTACAATGATGTTGTTGCTGACATGCATGTTAAAAGACGTTCGTAAAGTTTCTAGATAATCGGTAGGAATAAAAAATATTGTCTAGAAAGAAATTGGTTATTGGTGGATCTTTTCCTTCTGAAATTTGCCAGTAGAAAATTCATAAGGTCACACTAATATGACCGTCTCAAGAAACCTTACGATTTTAGGACGACAACGCGACGACGACGGCCAAACAATTCGTCGTATCTTATCAATCGTATAAATTTAACACAGTCTTAGAAGTTGAAAACATGTGTTTTATCAGGGTTGGGAAAAGTTCTCCAGCTTCTCCTGAACCTAGTTTGAAGTTGCACTAGTTGCTGCTTGAAATGAGGCCTTAAGACGTTAAAGTATGTGATTTGGCGTTGTAAACAGAGCGAGGACAATGCCTAAAATTCTAAATTTTTCATATATTGTAACTTTTCAATTCTTTTCAATGATCTATATTGTATTGGTAGCCGTTACCGTCACGTTGCCGTCCTAAAATCGTAAGGTTTCTATTATCTCGTGTTTAAAACGACCTAGAAATCATCAGAAGTGGCGTAAGAAGCTTCATCTTCCATGTTACGCAAACTGAGAAGATATTTGCTTGATATAATTTAAAACGTCACTATAGAGCGTTTGCACATGGCGTCACAGCCGCCATGTTTGTGTTCCAATTCAAAAGAATTTTAATTAGACTCTTTTGTCTGGAACACCAACATGGCCGCCATGGCTTTTGTTGAGTTAGTTCCTGGGGAATACGTGCAAATGCTCTATATGATTCGCGAGATTTAAAAATATTTCCTCATGATTTCAAACTTGATTCCCTGAATTCAAAAGGTTGCTCAATTTAGTCCTTGTTTCAGGATCAGTGCTTATTTTACGTCGACTCAAAAAGTGTGAGGAAGAACTATTCTTACGTTTTAATGTTTTTATAGCGCATCTTATTTTCCTGCCATCGTCTTTGATCACATCTCCGAGAAGTATGATTCCAAACTGTCCCGAACCTAAACGTTGGCCCGTCTTGATAAACAGTCTATCTTGTCCTATCTCCCACCACGTACGCTGTTCGTCAGGTCCGAAAGCGTTCGGGATAGTGTTTCGTTCATAAGCCGCGCTGTCCTCTCCGTCTGTAGTCTAAGAAATCGTAGAAACTCTTATTAACACGGGAACACCAGTGGCAAATACCCCTTATCTCTAACTATGTGCTTTTTTGGGTTTGAGTAACTTCCCTGTGTTTTTATAATTTATGAATGCAGAGTTTGGCTACGTGGACCAATGAAAGTATGTTTACAAAATATACAAAACAACGGTAACTTTGTATGAAGATTGAAGATCAATTGCTTTCTCCAGCTATATATATATACTTCGAGAGTCTGCATGGGAGCACCTGTATCATGACTGGACTTGGGCAATCATGGTAGGACATGGGCAAGTATAGCCTGGTTCTATACTGGGTTTTTTTTACAATAACGTGAAAATTTATTCCCAACCTCAATGACGTACCGAGACTATTCCGACCAACTCAATTTTATCGATCAATATACCGACCTTTCTGATCAATCTCTATTCTACTTTTCCTAAAAATTGGAGGTGTCGTACCCCCCCCCCCCCCCCC